TCCCCTCCCCCCCCCCCCCCCACCTGCCTCTGTGCCAGCCTCACCCCCTCTATTCCCACTGCCTCAGTGCCAGTCCTGCCCCCTCTGCTCCCACTGCCTCTGTGCCAGCCCTGCGTCTGCCCTTTCAACTGCCTCAGTGCCTGCCCCAACTGCCTCAGTATCAGCCCCGACCCTCTCCCTTCCAACTGCCACAGGCTCAGCCCCAACTGTCACCCTCTCCTATCCCCACTATTTCATCGTCTCAACACCCTCCCTCCCACACCATGCCTGAATCCATTATGTCCCACTTGCCTCGTGCTAGAAGTCTAGATCCCCCCAAACACACCTTGGTAGCCTCTGTTACTACTACCTCCCTGACTGAGGGGGAGTCCTGTGGGAGTCAGCCAGTCGTGTTCCACTCTCCCTGCTCTACCACTATCATGGCAAGTCTCATCATCTTCCGCACTTACCCCACACTCCCATTTGACTCCACCACCGCTCTGACATCTCCTGAAATACCCCTCCTGGCAGGTCCCACTCCATGAGCTTCACCCCTTCCTCTTTATTCAGTGCCCCTAAGGACTCCAGATAGGCTCTGTTCCTCTTTCACCATACATGGGCTGTGACAGGATGTATAAGCCACAAATCATGACAGCCAACAGTTAATAAGCAATACTGGACCCAGAATTTTAAACATCAAATGCACTCTTATGTATTAAACAACCACTTTGATTTATACTACTATGCAAGTGAATTGCCCTGGGGCTTTTGGATAAGTGGGCACCTGGTCTGCCACCCTCAGAGACAGAGATGGAGCAGGAACCTCATTCTGACGAGGAGTAAATCATGGAAAAATATGAAGATCAATCCATACCCTCAACAATATCATCTTTAATGCTACATAAATTAGTAACTACATCTGCTCTTCCATAGTTGATTTTTTTTTAAAAGAGTCCTGTGGCACCTGAAAGAATAACAGATTTACTTGGGCATAAACTTTCATGGGTAAAAAGCAATTCCTCAGAAATATATTCCACTCACCCAGATAAGACTTCATCTGGAATAGTGTGTCTGGTTATGAAGACCACTTTCCAAGAAAAAAGTGGACAAATTGGAGACCAAAGGAGAATAACCCCCCCCCCCAAAAAAACAAATCAGTAAAAAGTTTAGAAAATATTACCTATGAGGGAAAATTTTTAAAAATTGGTGTTGTTTACCTTTGAAAGCTTATGCCCAACAATGTCCTGTGGCACCTTAAAGACTAACAGATTTACTTGGGCATAAACTTTTGTGGTTAAGAGCCACTTTTTCAGATGCAAAGTTAAGCAAAGAGATGAGGAGGTAGGGTACGAAAGAGCCCAGGGGAACAGCAACTGAGACCTAACTGACCTGGATGATAGGTTCCATGTGCTGGAATCTGGAGCACTAGGCAGACCCATGTCTCACTACCAGAAACCAAGAAAGTGGTCCAGGACCTGTAGCTGGAATGCAAGACTGCCTGAAACAACATACAGGAAGCATCAGCATGTGTGATGGAACTCTGTGACACCAGAAATGAGGACAATATACAGTAAACTTCCGATAATCCGGCACCTTTGGGACCCAGGGGGTGCTGGATTATCAAATATGCCGGACTATCGGAAGGGGGAGCTATGAGGGGTCGGGGGGGGGTGCCACCCCAGACCCATCATAGCCCCCCTTTCCGATAGTCTGGCTCTGCCCCAGGCGTCCCTGATTCAGCCGCTGCTGGTCAGTTTCAGCAGCTGCTGAATGGGGGACGCCTGGGACAGAGCAGCTGGGGGGTTGCTGGGGTGGGCCCCTCGCGCTGGCCCTCC